ATTTTTCTTGTGATTGTAATATTTGATTGCTTGAATATATAAACACTGTGATAAACTGATGTTACAGAATTAGCAGCAGCAAAGGAATCACTCTGAATCATGACATAATGAAGAATTGTTTTATGTCTATAAGGCATTTCTCATGGGAGTACATTTGGTCATCCTAGTAGCATTTGGGAAAAACACATATTTTTATCTCACAGTATTTGTAGATTACTTTTGATGGTGGGGTGAGCCCTAACTATGTCCTTCTGGCCTCATCAAATTAGAAGTGAATGTTTGGGAGTGGAGAAAGATTTTTAGTGAAAACATTCTCAATAATGTGGGGCTGGAAAATTCAAAGGCGTATTACCATGGTAACACTGTCTTTATAATTATGAGCTGATTCACTAAAAAAAGTTAAATAACATTTTTTATTCTTTGTTTAAGGTAGTAGAGAATTATATAATAATAATAGTTGCTTAAAAGGGAGCATAAGTATTGGTTATCTGGAGAAATCACTTGTATATATCTATAGAGTATTGGCCAATACCCCCATGGGTGAGAAAAGACATAGCAACACGTCCTGCCCCCTTAGCTCTATGGGATTTTTATGTTTATCTACTGCCAGGACACTTTCCATTTGTATTATTCTACTTTTAAAGAATTGAAGTCACCAACCTCATTTAGATGGATGGTTTCAATGGTCTTTAAATAAACCTATGACATAATCAAATAAGAGATTTAAGGAAAGGGAAAAGATAAAAACAAAACTCATGAAAAATAGACATTCCAGTCAAGCCCAGAGCTTCTATAATAGATATTTCAAGATCTGGTGAGAATAATTTCTAATTCAACACTTTCATTCCCTCACCTGTTAAAGTAATAAGACTTTGAAAAGAAAGCTTTTAAATTAAAATTTTATAAAGCAGCCTGTTTCTTAAATACTGTGCAAATAATTTCTTAAGAAAGTAAGTTATAGTAATTTTTATAAACAACTTCTTCACATTTACAATGCTAGGTTTTTTATTGTTTAGATTGAATTAGATTTCTCAAAAGGTATTTAGAAAAAAAATTGCATTAAGAAGGCCTGTCTATTGTATTTTTCAGATGAAAGCTGGTTTCTACAACATTATTCACATTTTGTAAACAGCATCACTGAACCTGCACATAAAAGGTTAAATGTTTGCAGACCATTCTTTTTTGCCTCAAAGATCAGAGACAAATTACTATTTTTATTTTACATTCCCTTGATGAGGATAATGATAAACAGCTGTCACTTCAGTGCTTCGACTGCAAAGAATCCTATTGCAATGCTATAATTTAAACAAAGAGAAAATACATAGTCATACACAGTATGCATACACAAAAAAGCACGCTAGAAAATTTGGTTAGAACTGGGGTTAGAGAAAAGGGAGCGTTTGCTCTCTGCAATTACTCAGTTAAAAGAAAAATTCCATCTATATACATTTTTTCCCATTCATCTTAGACATACTGGCAGGGGCAATTACTGTTTCTATCTAAAATCAGAAAATAAATCAAATTTGCATTTTGAATTCTGTGACTCCCCATCATGTCCACCGTACTATCAGAATAGTTAAGATTTGCATGCAAGCATGTGTCTATCCGTGTTTCCAAAAGCTAAAGAGAATTTTAAATTGTTTTACTGGTTATTTTGGAATGCCTCTATTTTTTTCTTTCAATGTTGAGAATTAAACCAGTGTTCTCTGTTCACTCTGATGCTTTGCTTTTTAATTGCATCTGGTTTAAAAAGTGAAAGTCAATGTCTTTTGCATATTTTGATATGCAAAAATGTACAACAATGCTAAATGTTAAGAATGGTATACAATGGGAAATTTCATCTACATGAAAATGTGGATGATGACATAATTTTCATGGTATTTCATATTCCTGGAGGTTCATTTAATATGCTATTTATTTAGCCTTTCTCTTTTAGCTAAATAATTTTTTATAAATACCAGTACTTTAAAGATTTTTTTTGGAGAAATTTTTTTACACTTATTATTTTATCTACAAAACTAACTTGATATATTATGGATGTTTCATAATACTTTCAGTTTTTTGTACCTAAGGAAAAAAATAAATTAGTTTAAAATCACATTCATCTATTTATTGAACAAATTTCAGCTCTCAGAGCCTCAACATGTTCTTCTATAGGTTGACAATAACCATGCCCTAAGGTTGTGGTGCAGATCTTCTATATAAAATGCTTAGCACATTAACTGGAACACAGTAAGGGCTCAATAAATGTCCCGGGGAGGAGGTAAATAGTAGGTTGATTCTGAAATGCCATCACCTCCTACTGATAAATACAATAGCAAAATCCAAAATTAGTTTCGACCAGAGAGACAAACTGCATTATACTATATTCAAATCGGAGGTTTATATTACTTTTTGTAGATGTTTTCTTCACAAAGCTGTAGGTTGTCTGTTCTCGTTTATATACATTAATTCCATAATCATTTTATCATCCTCATTGTCAAGTAGTAGTAGATCCTAACTCATCAACTTGGCGTTTCTCTAGTCTCTGGTTTTCTCTAACAAGTAGGCATTCCTGGAGACCCTGAAATGCACTGGGATGGCTTCCTCGACTTTGGTAAACCCAGTTGCAGTATTAACCCCTCCTCCTTTCCTTCTTCCTCCTGTGCACCAAGCTCTGTGCCAGGTGCTGAAAAGGAGAGATAAACAAGATCCTGGAGTCCAGTGGAGAGAGGAGCTTAAAACTAAACTGGATGTTAAATGCGCGAGCACAGGCACAGTTGAAGTGTAGAAGGAGTGGCGGGGCCCCATGGCCATCAGGAGCTTGTCTAGGAGAGCGGATGGTGGAGCAGGGCCGTGGAAGATGAGAGGCCTTCGCAGGTGGGCAAAGGGTGGTGGGAGGAGGGGGTTCCAAGCAAGGGGAATAGCTTGCTGAAAACATGGAGGGATATGTATGTGTGTGTACATCCCTATATATACATTTATACATATATACATATATATACACACATGCGGTTTGGCATTTTTATATTGCTTAAGTTGAAAATGTTTTATGTTCAAATTTTTCATCTTAAATTTTCATAATGTATGTTAAGAGTCAAGCAACTCTCTCGTATTCCATGAATATGCAGAAAGGAAGGAAAGAAATTAACATTTGTTGAGTACCTGTAAGGTCCTCTGCCAGGTCATTTTATATACATCATCTCATTTAGCTGCCACAGGTTTTCCAAGTAAGCATATCCCCATTTTAAAGATGAAGAATCTGAGTCTCAGTCACATTAGGAAACGAAAGTGTGGTCACACAACCAGTATGATAGAGCCTGAATTTGAACCTAAAGTTTTCACATTCAAATACAGTACCTTTAAAACGTCATAGCAATTACTACTGACTGAATTTTGGTGCGGTGTGGAATGCATCTACAGACTTAGAGTGGTCTTTATGCCCCAGAAAGAAGTCTGGAAACATGGTTGGTTTTTTTTGCTGTTGTGGCTGGCTGACCTTTGCACTCTCATTTTACCACTTTGTGGCCTTAGCCTGTTATCTGTTTATCTCAGCTCCTATTGTGCCTACATCACAAACGAATGATAAAAATAAAGAACTGCATACGATTTTATTAAATTCCTTTTTTCAGTGACCAAAAACCATTTTAAAAGAAACAGTATAGAGGAACAACTGTCATTTCTGAAACTTCCAGCCAACTAGCTTGCTGTTGTAGCAGTAAGATGCCTCAGAAATATTCTCACACATGGGGTCATACTCTCAGGATTGGAAAATGAATTGGGGATATATTATTTTAAAGTGTTTTTTCAAACATAAGATATTTCCGATTGCGAGAAGTCTGTATAAATTATTAGAACCAGTTACTATCTTTGTTATTGTTGATTTTGTGACTTATCAATATGCCTTTCGCACATGCATACTGGTTCAAAGGAGAGGCTTGTCGTTTATAGACCAGCCGAGCTATTTAGCACAGTGCTTTGCCTAGAACTGATTGAAAGATTGAAACCCTGGAAAATCAAAGTACGTACATTTCCAAAGAAAAGTACTTCACATCCACATTGGAAGCAATAAATTATTTCTCCCTTCTACATTCATAATTAAATCTTTCCAAATGCTAGAAAGTAGCCAGACCACTAACAATATCTGTATCATGTTCTAGGGTTTAGATGGTTCAACCTGACTTGAAATGGAGACCATTTGTTCTAAATTGATTTCAATGCCAAGCCAATAGGTCAGCCCTTAATGATGAAGATGCCATTCCAACCCAGCCTCTGGTGGATAAGCCAAAATTAATTAACTCAAGTTCCATAGTATAGAAAACAGATGCTTCTCTTGTGTTGTACAAATAAATTCTTTGTGTACGGATATGTTCTGTTTTATTCAAAGAATAACAAGTTGGAAGTTAAAATTATAAGTTTTTCACAATGGAGCCAGCCTTTAGTAGTGATGACAGAGGCATGAATTTACGTAAGAAATTCCAGCAAGTGCATGGAAGAATAAATTATTGTCTGTATCTCTTACTTGGCTTCAGGCCAGCCTCAGAAATTTAGCCTTGAATATGGGTTGATCCAAATGTTGATCCATTCCAGAGCAGATGTAGATGGGCCAGAGCAACACCAAGGTTATTTCTAATCCATAGAATCCCCAGAGGCTCATAGGTTTACATCTGCATCATATATTTGGATTCAGTTCTTTGGCCAGCTTGCAAATGGTTTAAGATTATATTGTTCTCTAGAGGTATGTTGTTAGGTACACTGTTTATTTGGTTATTCATCTCGACATTCATTCAGAATTAGAATTCTTGTTTTTCCTAGAATGTGGCAGGCTAAAAGTAGAATAATAACTGCAGGGCTCTGATCTCTTTTCAGAACTAATGGGTGGGAGATAAGATAAAAGATGTTACCAACTAGTAGTACAAACTCCAAATATGCAAAGCAGAAATTGATCATCTGATAATGTCTGGTATTTTATTTTCTTCTGAGTGAATGAGATAATCCATGTTTTGTTTCTTTTCTGTTAGACCGAAAATGATGAGAATGGCCAAGCAGAAAACTTTTCCATGGACCCACAATTGGAGAGACAAGTGGAGACCATTCGCAACCTCGTAGACTCCTATATGTCTATTATCAACAAATGCATCCGAGATCTAATTCCAAAAACGATAATGCACCTTATGATCAATAATGTAAGTGATTATAAACTGTCTCCCTTTGATTTCTAATGCATCCTAGTGTGGAAATTTCACACATTCTCTTCAGACGTTTGTGATATTTTCTGGGTAGATAATATACCTATTACCAGGTTCATCATTTTCCCTTACAAGTGGTAAGTGACTGACAAGTGCAAGAGAATTTAGGAAATGAAACTTAAAACTTCTTGCTATAGTACTGAGGTATTCCCATTTGGCTGTCTTCTAGAAGGGTGTAAATTTGCTCACAATAAACTAGAGCAAAAACATCATAGTCATGGTCATGGTATAAATTAATTGCAAAGCCTCAATAAAACCAGGTGCCCTGACTCCTAGACCTTGAGATTAAAGGCAAAGGATATATTTGTTCCTACACACACACACACACACACAATATGTTAATATGATTCTTTTCAGCTTCTAAAAACTATGGGATAATATTTAACCTGAGAAAGGGCTTCTTGCTTTATCCCCTGGGATACAAAGTCAGTGAACTTTGTTTTCTAAGGTAAGGATGATATAATGTCAGATCTCAAAAGTATTCTGCTAGACTAGCCAACAATGGATTCATATTGTCTAGAAACTCTCACTTTTTATGGTTATTTATAGTAGTCAGGATATGATACTTTAATTATGTGGTCTGGTTTAGTTCTTTTGGTAGTTAACTTTTAAAAGTAAAAATAATACCACAAGTTATTTAATATTTGAGAAATTGTCTTTTAGATAAGTTATAATGAGGTGTTTTATAGTAGGCTTTTCTGAATCTTGACAAGTGAGACACCAACAGTTTTATTCCTAGTTATCTTCTAAGTACCTATTTTTATTTAAATCAAGGACATATCATGAGCATTGCTTGTAAGAAATAAAAATTAGATGACAAAGTAGTGAAAAGAGCCCCAAAGTAGAATTTAGGAGAAACCGGGTTCTACAACCTGGTTCTACTACAGACTCTGTTGACCTAAGTCGTGTCACTTAACTTCTGTGTGTCTGTTCCCTCCATATGTAGAATCATGGTACATTTATCTGACTTAGGGATTTGTTCCAGAAGACAGTATATAAGAAAGTACTATAAAAAAAAATAATTGTAAGAAATTAATATGGCTGCCTATTTAAGAACTCTAAATAGCCCTATCCATATTTCAAGATTTATTTCAAAACTTTATTTCTAAATGTGGCAGTCCATTCATTGTCCATGATCCCTGCATTCCTTGACTGTAAGAAACCTCAAGCGCTCATGTGAATAATCTTGTTTTTCACTTACTCTATGGTCATACACGTTTTGTGCATTCAGACAAAGTTAGCAGGATGCTTTGAAGTCTCAGCAGCAGGTAAGCAATAAATCGGGAATGTGGAGACTGAGTTTTATTCTTAAGCTTGACCACTGGCCTGCTGCGTGACCTGAGGCAAGTCATTGTGCCCCTCTGAGTTGAAGTCAGTCACTTCTAAAGCTACAGTCAGAACACCAAGGTACCACGCAGAACTGTCAGAGATCATAATAAATGTGGCCGTAAGGCATTTAGAAAAATAGAAAGTACTAAACAAATAGTCTGCGTATTTAAAAAATTACCCTCTTAACTTCACTTAAATGAATTCAGGTTGTTTTGTGTGGTATATCCAGGCACTTGCTTATTTAAACATTTTCCTGATTAAGGATCATTTATCTTTTCACTGTTTTACCAAGAGTCATTAGTGCTGCCATCAGTTCAAACGCTGCTTTGCTCTGCACTATATTAAATCATCAGCACAGGAAATAGCACTTCCTGCCTGTAGCTGTGAGGAGTAGCTTGACACAAATTAGAAGAAAAAGAACCTATTGCAAATCTATCCTACTTTCACCTTCTCAAGAAACACGCACGTACACACACAGGCGCACGCAGAAACGCAGAGGTAATTTCTCTCACTCCTCACTGGTCTGTTTAATTGCTTTCTGAACTGGCTAAACCCCCACCCACAGGATATTATCCTTGGAGGTAAAGCTCTGCTAGTTGTCTTGAGAGAGGCCTCACATAAGAGTCATGAGAAAGGGGACTTCAATTGAGACCTGATCTCCAAGGTCAAACCTTGAAGCAGAAACTAATAGGATTGTGAAGAAGGCAAATGTATCATGTAATACTGAATTCCTGAGAAATTATGGTTATCTTTTTTAAAATGTAACTTTTTGTATCTATCAGAAACTAGTGTTACATATCTAAAATGACTGCTTTTCCTAAGTATTATTTTATGTGCTTTTTGAAACTATATATATAGAAGGCGCACTTTTATATATAACATATTAATATTACATAATTTAAGGTTGTATATAATTCTATATATGTAAGAATAGATATCCCTTTTTTAAAATGTGTTCCTATTCTTGTGGCATCTCGTTGTACAGAGTGCCCAAGGCCTTTCTGTTCATTACAGAAGTGCCCTGTTGAGCACAAGGAAATGTGCTCTGGGATGCAGTGACAGCCGGCACTCTGCCATGTGTGTGTGTTGACTTTTTAATTTGATCTAAAGTGAAGAGATCTTCAAGTGAGAGAATCAAAATCACAACTAGAAAACTAATAGACTCCTAATTCTAAATTCCATCCACTTAACCCTGTTGCTTCTATAAATGGGTCTGGGTGAAAAAGCTAAGTATTCCTCCAGAACCAATACCTGCCTAAAATGGGGTCCTCTAGTTCTTCCTGGTCAGTGGAAAGCAATGCTGTGGCCTTTTCTCTTTGAAATGGGAATGGCTACTCAGCCTTCTGAAAAAGAATATGTCTCAGACAACTTTCATAAAGTTCAGAATTTGGTGGGCAGTTTCCTTTGAAAGTTTACATTAAGTGTTCTGCCACTCAAGTCTCCATATGGAATTGTTTAAGAAGTTTAAAGCCTAGCAATAAATGCCTGGCCTCAGACATACTGTAAGCCTTTGTCTATTGAAATGCAGCAGCTGTTTCATTACTTAAACATACCAGGTAATGGCAACACAAAGAAATAGCAAGTTTATGGCAAACGGTTGTTCTGGACAGGCTGCAGCCAAAGCAGCAGAATTTTGTTCGGGGCTTTTAAACTAACGTCCACATAACACCCCATGACAAGCTCATTTTGATGGTCTCTTCTCTGTGGCTCACCCGACCAGAAATTCTCCGTCAGAGAATCAAGGAAGTGGATCCAGCTTTATTCTAAAAATGTGCATGGCAAAATGTCACACAATTCTGTTTGAACGTGTTGGACAACAGCTCATTGGATACTCATTTATTTTCCCCAGCTTATTTTCCCTATTTTCTATATACATGAAGAAATTGAGTCTCCAACAGGTTGACTTGCCCAAGATCACACCGCTGGGTGGGGCAGAGTGAAGGTTGAGATTCAGGTCTTTTCATTCATAGCTGATGTTCTCTCCATTTCAGCGTCAGATAACACGTATGACAGGGTTAGGGGAACTCTTAGTCAGCCCTCTCCAGCTAGAGGACTCCTACCCCCACGGGATATACATGAGTTTTCTTCCTAGAGGGTTAATTTTACTTGAATATTTAATTAGGATATGTTTGAATATGAGAAACACTGTTTTAAATCTTACAAACCCAGATAATATGAAATAGAATGTAAACATTTTATGAATTTTTTTAAAAAATCAGATACGAAACCTAAAGGCATTTCACACATGGAGTGTGTGTGCCTGAGTCCCTGGACCCCTGGAGGTCCACGTTCACTCTCTTCAGCCATTGGCACTTTGGTGGAAAATTAATAACATGTGCCCTAGTTTCAAAATTCACTGTAACTTTAATGTGTATGAAGTAAAGTGTTATTTTAAATGTTCATTATTCGAGGGGAAAGTACATCTTAAATACCAGAGCTTTATTCTGGTATTTAGAGCATTGATTTGTTTCCACCAGCCAAGAATTCAGCACGCTGCTCAAGGAAAAGATCACGACCAGGACCCCAAAACCCCACTATCCTGTCCCTGCCTCAGCCTCCCACTATCACTCCCTGCCCACAGTGACACTCTCCTGCTCTCTTCTACCACAGAGTAATTTTACTTGTTGTTGAACTTTGGAATCATATAGTGCATGCCTTTTTCTCTCAAACTTTTGCTCAGTGTTGTATTCGTGAGTCTAAGGATGTTACTTTTTAAAGAAGGAAAACTTCCTTGGTCTTTAGCAGAACTAAATCCCTGGGAAAAGCAAAGGAGGCTTAAGTAGGTATGAGAGAATAGTGAGATCTCAAAGACCCACGAGATTCTAACCAAGCCTCCTCCCCAAAGCTAAACAAAATTAAACGTCTCAGTTAAATTTTGATATGTGTATTATGTGAATGAGAAATAGCATTGTGGTCCATACTGCCACCCTCCTCATTCTAGAAACAAAGAGACATCAGGGAAGTGGTTTCCTTGGAAACCAAACTGTTTGAAAACCCTAGAAATGTCTATTTGTGAAGGCTTTAAAATGGCCTTAGTCATAACAAAGAAGGTTTAAGATTGAAACATATCACCGTTTGCTAGAGAAGGGTTAAAGTAAGAAAGAGAGGAAAACATGTGGAACGTTTTTAATGACCTCACATTCCTTTACACTGAGCAGAGCGGCGGCGCAGTAATGCCTGTTTATCTAGCCTGGAGAGTTTGAGCTGGAATGAGGTTTTGTGTGTGAGAATTTTTGCAAACCATACAAAGACATATAGGTTATAAGGTGTTATAATTAAAAACATAAATATTATTTCAAATCTCACATTCCAGTATAATTACTTTGTTATGTTCTGTGAACTGTTTCCTAAATGCTATCATCTAAAAGGGATCCCCTTGGCCTCTAATTGTTGTGCAGAATCCTCAATATTTATATTTGCACCGCTGACATACAAACTGCTCAGAAAGTCCCCGAAGTGTCTGGAAAGTCCCCCTACCTTTGTTCCAAACTCAAGCTGTAGCACCACAAAGTTAGGTTAGCAGAAGGAAAGGAGAGGAGACCCTCTAAAATTTGGCTTACATGCAAAATAAAACATTAACCTATTCTCTATGTCACTTGATACCTGCACTATTGTGATAGCTTTCTATTGTTCCCCTGCCCTTATGTACTTAATGCCAATCCAGACAGTATACAGTAAAAATAACAGCTTTTGTTTATTGATCACTGGCTATATGCTAGGGCCATGCTTGGCAACTTATATTCATTCTTTTACTTAATCTTCACAACAACCCTTGAGATTGCTGCTACCATTATCCCTATTTTACAGATGAGGAACTTGAGACTCAAAGAGTTTGAGTTATTTGTCCAAGAACAATAAATGTTAGAGCTAGGACTCAAATCCAGAGCTGTCTGATTCCAAAGCCTATGTTCTGAACCCACTGTGCTGTATTGCCATTTTTTTGCAAGCTAATAATGCTCATATTATTTCAGAACATTTCCAAAGCTTTTGCTTAGTAGGCAAGCTTTAGTGTGTAACATTTGGATGTGAAAGATTCAAGACAGATCCTTTGATCAGAATGCTGAAACAGGCCCTTATTTTACATCGTGGTTTGTTTGACAGTTGATTCTTAATTCAGATCTGCTTTAAATCTGCTCTTGGAAGAATATTCTTTTAAATTGTGTTTAATAGATTCTAAGTGATACTCCGGTAAGATGTAAAGCTTCAAAGGAGCTTAACCCAACTGATGGTCAATGCCAGGAAAATTGTCTGGTTTTGAGTTCTGAATTACACCATCTATCCAAGTGCATACCCAACAATGGAAAATTTGTGCAAATGTCCATGACTCCTTGGGTACCTGCAAGTATGTTCAGAAGTGAATAAAAATCTTTAAGGAGAGCAATGAAATATTCCTAAAGCCAAATTTACTACCTTTCCTCTAAATCTGACTTTCTTTCTTGACATTTGGTTTCACATTCTCCCACTCCCACAAACGTCAATGCTTGAGGTGCCTTTGATTATTCCTTTCTTCCTCGCCTTTCACATCCAAACAGCACCAAGTCCAGTTGGTTTCTCCTTTATAATGAAATTTATTTATTTTCCTTTATAATGACCCATCTTTTCTACTGCAACATTGCTAAATTAAACCCTCATCATATCATGAGTGATGTACATTAACCTTCTAACAGATTTCTTTGTCTCCACTATCACCCTTGCAAATTCTTTTTCAATCACAGCCAGATTAATTTTCCTAAAAACTCTCATTTATTGTTTCACTTGCTTGCTTAAAATATTTCCATGGCTCCCTACTGTTGAGTGGATAAAGTGCAAACACATTTTCCTTGGCATTCAAGGCCTTCATATCTGTCCCAGGTTTCCTGGCCAAATTTGCTTTCCACAACCACCATACATAAACCTTTACTCCACCAAACATTTCCCTGAATACGTCTTGTATATTAGATACTTCCACATTTAATCAGTCTTGGTTTACAAAACACATGCAGGAAACACTTTTTATTTCACCACAATGTAGCTGTGATATAGCTGAATTCTTATATTTGTAGAATTATTTACATGTTTTAATACCTTTAAAAGATTATGAAGCTATATGTTTTAGACTCTTGTCATTTCTGAGTAACAATTTAACTATAACCTAGGAATTCTGAGTATCTGACAGGTGTTCTGTTATCTGTCTGAATTTGTAACAATTAAATATACTTGCCTTTGGCCTTTCTTAGAGATATTCAGTGACTCTAGATAAGAGGTAGCTTTCTCACGTAACAGAGATGGAAAAACCCAAATTAGTTTATTTTGCTAGACTTAAGTTAATTCATACACTTGCTGCACCACTCTAAAATAACGTTCAAACATAAATTGTCTTTTCTAAGCACTCGATCACAGTGGGATAATTGGGTGGTGGAATGAGCACTAGACTTCAACTCAGAAGATTTTGGATTCAACTTAATGCTGTGTGACGTTGGGCGAGTTACTTACACTCTCCAAACTTGTTTATGCATTTGTGAAATTGGAATAATAATACAGGTTTCATCAGTGTGTGGCAAGAATTAAGTCATATAACTCGTCAAGGCACTTGGGCTATACCACAGTTCATTGATTCTCACACTCACTTTTATGCTTAATATTTCTGAAATGAAGATGCACCTTACACTTAGTAGCATCTTGACATTCTATCATAGTTAAATTGATGGGGTTTTTTTCTTACTGGCACGTAATATAGTAGTTTTTTAAAAATCACTGTGTCTTAGAGTTGATGAGATATGGCGGTTGGTGCTCCCTCCCTTTGTGTTCTGTACCGTATTCATCCTCTCCATTCTCATCCTGCTCCAAAATGCCCCTCCCCTATGACTCCTACATATTTTCACACTTTAATTTGCTTTTACATATCTGTTGCCTAGGAAACCTCATGTCAATCACTGGTAACTAACTCTATTGTAAATTTTGAGAAAACAAAGTGTATTTCTTTCCCTTGTTTGTAAATAAACTTGCATATAGTTACATAAAGTTCTTATATAATACATATTCACTTATGGTGCTAATTCCACTTTTCAGACAACATTGAAACTTAGAGTCTTAATAATTTTCCAGTGATTTTGGTAAAGGACTGGAAATGCCATGGGGATGGAAAACTTGTGCTATTACATAGGTTTCTTTATGTCACTGCTTTCTCTTGAAAATACTCTGTTTATCCCAGGGTACTTTCCCCCTTCCTTAAGCCAAACAGCCCAGACAACCTTGCGGAAGGCTGACCAGCCGGGGCAGTGATGGCAGGGTCTGGTCTCTCTTCCACTCATCTAAGTTATCCTTCAGAATCGAGAGCCAGAACACAGAGGGACACTGTTACTGGCACCAGTACTAGGGACAGGGAGGATAATGACAAAAACAAGAGTAAACAGATGCACGATGCTTCCCTTTTCCCAGGTGGACACTGGTGAGCGTTTGTCCACAGTCTCTGAATGCCACAGCCCTGTTTATGCCATCCAGTCGTTCATTCGTTTCCATTTGTATTTTCCCGTGGTCATCGGACAGGTTAAAGACTTCATAAATTCAGAGCTTCTGGCACAGTTGTATTCTTCAGAGGACCAAAATACGCTGATGGAGGAATCCGCCGAGCAGGCGCAGCGCCGGGATGAGATGCTTCGAATGTACCAGGCCCTTAAAGAAGCGCTTGTGATCATCGGCGACATCAACACGGCCACCGTGTCCACCCCTGCCCCGCCCCCGGTGGACGACTCCTGGATACAGCACTCTCGCAGGTAGGAGGACGCCCCGCCTCACCTGAGGCCTGCTGCCCAGTGTCACTGAGAGAGAGCTTTGCTCTCCAGCACGAACCGAGAGAAAAAGAGGAGAAGACTACTCATGTCCGGGGGTGAGAGGGTCAGGTCGGACCAGCTCCCCTCGAGACCAGGCACGGTGCATGCTTTCAATGGAATGGCAGGCAGTCATTAAATAGAATAAGACAGTTCTATTAAGTCCTGGAATGAAAAGATAATCAAAGTAAAGCTTTCAAAAAAAAGTTACAGAACACTGTTTTATGATGTATAAAAATGCAGTTGAGAAAACATGCACTTGTGCAGAATCTCGTTTCAAAGGGTGCACAAAGAAAGGACTGCCACCGAGCGAAGGGCTGGAGGGAGGGCAAGCTTTTGCCGCTGAATCTTTCGTAACTTTTGACTTTGCTAACATGTATCTCAGTTACTCAATCAAACAGTGGTTTTGAAACAGGAGTCAGGGAGTTATTAAGCTTTCCGAAAGACGAGTCCGCGTACAAGGCAGGGTGGGCAAGCGCGTGTGTCTTCTCCGCAGGTCACCTCCGCCGAGCCCCACGACGCAGAGGCGGCCGACGCTGAGCGCGCCCCTGGCCAGGCCGGCGTCCGGCCGCGGCCCCGCGCCCGCCGTGCCCTCCCCGGGCCCGCACTCGGGGGCGCCGCCGGTGCCCTTCCGCCCCGGCCCGCTGCCCCCCTTCCCCAACAGCAGCGACGCCTTCGGAGCGCCCCCGCAGGTGCCGTCGCGGCCCACGCGGGCCCCGCCCAGCGTCCCCAGGTAAGGCCCGCGCTTCGCGGCTGCGCTCGGTGCTCCCGGTTCGCTTCTCAGGGTGCGACAGACAGAATGTGTTTGAAAAAGAGCTTATCATACATGCTTGCAATCTTCACACTGGAGGGGGACCAAAGGAAAATTGCTGAGCCCGTTACACCATTTAAGCACCATATGTGGTCATTAAAGTTTCTCATTTATCAACTGGCACAAAACAGGACCAAAGAAAACTGGGTCCCAGTGAGTGACATGTTGGCAGCTCTTGGCAGAATTTGACGGAGGGCTTTGAAACAGAAGAGCCGCGGCTGGCTTGTGGCCGTCTGTGTGCTCCCTCGGCCGTGGGGGTTGCGTGGCCCCAGCCTGGGCTTCTCCATTACCGGGGGAATTCTAGAAAACCACTGCCTTAAGGAATTTTATCCATCCCGCCCTCTGAAGTGTGATCCTTATACTGAATATTACTATAATTTTAAGGTAGGCTGAATAAAATCCAGCTGATTAATCTGCAATTTTTAAAAAAAAAAACTATGCATAGAAATTTTAACATAGACATAATGACTGCTGTGTGCAGTCACTAACCATACATAAGATAGCACATTGTACATTTGAATGACACATTTTGACAATAATCAGATTTTCAGAGCTACTATGAAACAATATAGCTAATAAATAATGGAACTGGAAACATGTAGTTGAAGCAATGCTGTCACTTTCCTTCATACATTTACAGTCAAGTTATACAATGAGTGTAATCACAGATTTTTAAGGTATACACTACTGTACCTTACTACTGTATCTGATTTCCCCCCTCAAAATCAGAAATTTAAAAAGGAAAGAATATTATCCCATAGATAAAGTTAATTTTTTAAAAATTAAATTCAGAGATTTATACTATTCATATGTTCCATGCACAAAAGTCTGGTTAGTACACATACTACAAAAACAGAACTCACTGCTACCCACCCATGAAGGCCAAGTCACCTCATCCACTGACGGTGGCACTTACATTTTATTTTGATCTTCAGCTTGTTGGGTGCAATGAAGAGAAGAAGGGGGACTTAAACTAGTAAACAAAGGGTGGTGGAGCAGGAACAGCAGATTTACCATCAGAAGACCTGGGTTGCTGCAGATCTCAGACACCTCATTTAGCTCTGAGACAGGAGTTCCTCATCCTTGAAATAGGGGAAAATTCAACATTCACCATATGATTGCCAGATCATATGAGATGATATAGTTGAAAGAGTTTGACAAACTGTAAAGGCCGTGGTTGGGCTGGGCGTGGTGGCTCATGCCTGTAATCCTAGCACTGTGGGAGCCCAAAGTGAGTAGATCTCTTGAGCTCAGGAGTTCGAGACCAGCCTGAGCAAGAGTGAGACCTCATCTCTACTAAAAATAGAAAGAAATTAGCCAAACAACTAAAAATAGAAAAAATTAGCCTGGCATGATAGCGTGTGCCTATAGTCCCAGCTACTCAGGAGGCTGAGGCAGGAGGAACGCTTGAGCCTAGGAGTTTGAGGTTGCTGTGAGCTAGGCTGACGCCACAGTTCTCTAGCCCAGGCAACAGAGCGAGACTCTGTATAAAAAAAAAAAAAAAAAAATGGCTGTGGTTGTTACTATTATTATCATCTCTTTGGTCCTAATCAAAGAGGATATATGTACTCTCAATCCCATTTATTTCTCTAAACTCAACAGGCTTAGCTTACAATTTATTTGGAACTGAGCTAAAGTTCTGGTACTAATAGTAATGGCCAGTATTCATTGTGCTCTCAATATATGCTAGGCATTGTCCTAAGAGCTTCGCTTGTACGTTTTTGCATGATGCTCACAACCCAGTGAGACAAGTTATTATCCACCTTTTACGATGAGCACCAAGCGTAAGCAGCTGGCCCGGGGCTGCTCAGCAGTCCCTAGTGGAGCTGGGCTTCCATCCCGAGCAGTCTGACTCCAGAACCCAGGCTCCCAACCGTAACCGCCAGGCTTCTCAGCCTCCTCACTGCCGACATTTTTGCTGTGGAGGCCTTTCCTATCTATTGCAAAAGGCTTAGCAGTATCCCTGGCCTCTATCCACTAGATGTCAGTTGCAATCTCCCAGTTGTGACCACTGAAAATACCTCTAGACATCGCCAATGTCCCGTAGGGGAGTAAAATTCCTCTCCACTTGCAAACCACTGTACCGCAGTATTCAAAAGAATTTTCCTTCCGCATAACAAACATGAATTTCAGCATTGAGCCAAATTTACTGTTTTAGAAAACCTCCGATTGACTTGGAAGGTGTCTGTCATTGTGCCAGGAAGGCGTGGAGGCCACGGGAAGAGGGGAGTTGGCGGTGGGAAGGCGGGAGTCCCACACAGGACCTGTCTTTGTCTGTCTGGCTGTGAGAAGGAACCAGAGCAACCTGGTGGTGCCCGACCCGGGAATGAACGTGCATGTTTTGCCTGCTCGCTTGACTGCTCTACCTCTGGGTTTCAGAAAAGCTAGCTTGCCAACACCCTTCAGAAAAATCAACTTTTAAATGATTTGAATGCTAAATTGATTTGCTAAGCGGGGTGGAGTTGCTCTGGGTATTTTCAGGCTCGCTTGCATGCCCACGGTGCGAAGCCGGAGCAGGATGGGGGTGCAGCGGCAGCCTGGCTGGATGGGGGAGCCCCGGCTGAACGAGACTGCATTGGGGCATTTATTAGACAACGGTTGCGTTATTTGAAATTTCTAGAATATCTCAAGTTAGAACCAGACTTAACTTGATCTGGCCTTGCAAAGAGTACCAAATTTAAAACAGAAATGAGAGTACAGAATAAGAGAGGAAATTTGGTTGTTTTGTGCTGAGACTTCAAGTTTTCCTGCCAGTTCAGCGTATGGGGAGGGAAATCCCGGGGGTGGGAGGTGTCACCTGAGAGAGAGCAAGAAAGACTCTGTCAGGATCCCTGTGCCTATTAAAGTTTAGCTTTAGATGGAGAATTCTGACCACATAAAGTCTGTTTTTAATAAAAGCCAGAGCAGGAATCCTACCAAATACAAGCCAGAAATGGGGTTTAGGATTTCAAAAAAAGAAAGAGAGAAAGATAGAAAGAAAGAAAGAAATTGAGGGAAGCTCTGTTGAAACTTCACCTTGTTCTATTTATTTATATATTCTCTACTCCCTTCGTGATTTACTTCCGTTTTCTCTATTAAAAACTTAAAAAGTTGAAATGCCATTATCCATCATCTCCAGGAAAACAACCCTTAGCTTTTGGAGAAGGAAGTTTGATTTTTTTTTTTCTCTGAAGTTCTTTGCTTTCTTAAGGGCCCTTGCCCCTCTTTTATCTGAAACCAGAAACTCATAACATGACAAGACAGCACAAAAGGTGTCCTGCCAGCTCCCTGTTGGGCTTTAATATTACAAAGGCAATAACTGAACTTTTAGAGGCAAGAGATTCTGTCATTCAGTATGTGCCTGTGCTTAGTTTTCTTCTGGATAATTCGTGACTTCATTAGCAAGTTATGATCTTCAGTTTTAAGAGCATATATATTTTTATGTTACCCCTACTCAAAGGTAATCAAAGCACTTACAATTGTACAGAAACCATGAGGGTTCTACTCTTTTAAAAAATATCATTATTGTATCTTTCCATTCCTATATAAAGGGAGAGGAAGGAGAGAGTTGGTGGAGTCAATTTTGGGCCAGCTTTTCTCAGCTGCTCAAGTTGTTCTGGTTTGTGTGCATGGAGTCTTTCAGCGAGGGAGCTGGGAATATTGCAAACTCCATGCCTGTTTTAATTAATTCCACTTGAACTAAGGGAGCATCTTTATCCCCAAGAGACTCACTTGTATGGATGCTTCCGTCATTAGTAAGTTGAGTATACACAAATCTGGTATTTGTGGAACATTTTCTCTTGCCAGAATATCTGCATTGTCCCCTACCTGCCCACTGCCACTCAGCTTCTCTGAAGGGGTTAAACCTTGTTTGAAAATCCACGCCAATGTGTATTTGTTCAGCAGGATGATGCTGAACAGACATCTCCACCTCTTTAGGGTCACTGTTCTCTTCATTGAAGTTCCTAATCTCCATCAGACATTAACTTTAGAGCTGATTTAGCTATTTTCAGTCACAGCTTCTTAAAATTGGTTAATTGGGAATCACAGCCTTTGATATTAACAGAACAAATTAACCGAATCAGAGTGTGTTTTTCCTGGCAGTAACCGACTCTGGAATTATTTCACTCATTTGTCTTCCCCTCTTTCTTCTGACTAAGCTATTTTGCAATGGTCAAAGGGGATAGGGTGGCAGTGAGGGTCTCTATCCAAGGAAGAACAAACTTGATTTACCTCATCACTTAATCTTCCATTCAGAAAAAAAAAAAAAGAAAAAATGAAAAAGAGAGATACTTTCTTTTGACCACACTTGTTCACCAAGTGCAATGGTATCTTTTAAAAATAGCTAAACTGAGTCATTCAAAAGGATTTGGCTTTAACTCCAGCTCGTATATGTGACAGAAACCAACATGGAAACCAAGAGACGCTCCACTGACAGTCTCTGGTGAGCCCCACGATGAGGCCGGTGCCCCGCACTGCGTGGACAGCCCCAGGGTCCCCAGGGTGGCGCCAGGATTAGCCCAGCGCTTCCCGCTGTGCCCATGCCATGACTGATGTGATTTGCTTGACTTCACGTGGCACACTGTGAGACTCTCAATCACACATTCTCAGTAATTTATTGCCAAGTCAACCATGACAAAAGATTTATAAATCTTTCTACTCAAAGAGACAATCAATGCACTTTTATTCTTTTCTTTACAAAGATAAAGGCCATTTAGTTCTCGTAACAATTTAGTTTAATTTTGTTTTAAATGTTTAGCCTTGATGGCTTGCAGAACTACATCTCTTTTACATATCTTATACGGTGACATGATTGACAGTTAATACAGAATCCCTTTCACGTAGGGATACGGTCTTCATGTTTTGTTTTGCTTTTTAGCCAGTCCCCCAAATTTTGAATAAGGACAAACTCAAAATTCTTATGAGTGTGTCTTTGCATCCCTCACATCAAGGTTTGGTGCCATGAAGGAGGAAGCTGCTGAGCCCTGAAGTCGTGGGCTAAGGGACGGACAGTTAAGCAACTTGTGTGACTAGCCTGTGTCTGATTCCCCTGCAGTCATGTCCTGGAAACCTCCTGACTTACTCTCTCCTCAACTGCCCTCTAAAAGTATGACTTCTTTTAGCAGCTGAGTGTCATTTCGGGCAAATGATGAACTCACCTTGTGATCTCTGATGTGATCTCTGATGAGCTTTCTATTTTCCTCACTATCCTCCACCCCCTTTAAAAAACAAATAAACAAATTTATAATTAGGGATTCTGATTTTGCAGGAAATAGTTTTTATTTTTAGCAACTAGACTTAAAAGCAAAGATTTTTTAAAAAGTATAATTGCTAAGAATAGAAACAATTTTGAGGTGTTCTTTTTGATTCTTAATATTTAAGGCATCTCATGAGGCAACTGTGTTACAAAATTTGAAACTCCCAAATGTGATTAATGATTTGCTGCAGGTTTAACATGAGTTGTCATGATGCTTAATATACTTTAATGAAAATAGTACTTTGGCCACATGGTGTTCACTAAAGAAAATGTCCAATTTAATTTAAGCCCCTCAATTAAATATCCCATCAAAAGCTTCATTCCAATTTCCATGATGACTCTTGTTGTAACATAATATTTCGCTGGGGTGAATCAATGGTTAATGTCAAAGTTTTTCATTCTTTAAGTCTTGGTTTCAATCTGGTTTAAGTGAAAGTAAAATTAGTTTGGTGGTTTCCTTCTTGGGTCTAGCAAACTTGAGTCTACTTTACACAAACATTTCCATCCTGCCATGGTTCAGATGACTGGCAGTCTGTTTAGGCGAGGCCCAGAAGCAGAATGCAAATGTTCCGAAGGTCAGAATTTGGGAGCTTTGCAGATGTGCCAAGGTAGACTTCATATTGCCTTTATGTTTTCAATGTCTCCCTTATCTTACTTTTCCAAACATCCTATGTTGCAGGATGTAAAAGGAAAAGGAAAATAAGAAAAGATCTACATGAGGCAAAGTACAAGTAACATAAATGCAGACAGGCGGCAGTAAATACAACAATATGCTGCTGTTAGCCCAGTGGTAACTGGCATTAAGTTAACCAAACACAACTGCTTCCACATCCCATGACAAATAATAGCAAATAGCTCTGTCGCTGTTCTCTTTGGGACTTTAAATTGCAAAGCTTCAACCTCTATAGGGAAAGCCTTCCTGAGTTTCAGGGTACCCAGGCCTGCCCAGGGTTCCACCTGATTGATAGAGGAAGACAGCCAAGACAGGAGTCTGGCAAAGCAGCCATTGGCCAGAGAAAAATGCGCAGTAAATGATTATTATTCTTCCTGTGGCCAGTCAGCAGCAAATTGTCACCAGTTGGAATCTGCTGAATGTTCCTATATACAAGTTGATGTCAGCTCAAAGAAGGGGAAAAAAGTTCTGCCCAGTGTAAGCAGACACAGACTTGCAGACACACAAGCTGGTGCTTTAGCTTTATCACTGCACTCTTTTGTTTCCCTCACTGTAAGAAAAGAATGATTTTACAGGGAAACCTTCACATTCAGACAGTTCTGGTTAGACGGTATGTTTTTCAGTGACTTTAGTGATTCATGGCTCAACATCACTCTTGGCTCTTTCACCTCTAAATTTTATCCAAGCAGCAAAGTATAAGAATGAGGTCCTGGGGGCTTTTTCCTCCTTTCTAACTTACCAGCTATTGTGAAGCTTTAGAAGCGAAATTTAAATAACGCTTACTAGAGCTGCTTTAGCTGATAACAGCCAGGAAATTAAAACTGAAAATGTTAAGGCTGCATCTTTCACTCAGTATGTGCCTTAACTGCCTACTTCCAGCAATACAAGAAATAGTTGAGGATTTAGCTGATGGTTTGATGGCCTTGCCCACTTGTCATAACTTTATTGCTGCTTAAATGTAGAATTCCAAAATGCCCCATTGACATTGAAATCCTTTAGTTTACCAGTGCCAACATATTGTAAGCATTGTCTGGGGGAACCTCTGAATCTAAACACATATTTACACCCTTTAGTTGCCAAATGAAATCCATCTGGCTTACCAAATGCTGTTGCCAAGAGAATATTGCACTTTTGGTCTGGCCAGTATTTTAAATGTGGGGGATGAGAAAATGGTGTTGGTAAGGCGTCACATTTGAGAGAATCTGCATGTATGCATACTGATGCCACATTATTTAATTATTTAGATGAAGCTTAAGTCACATGACACTCTGCCCCAAAATAGAATGTCTACACAGGGCAAAGTCTAAAGCCACAAGGTATTTAGGCAGCCGTCATGGCTTGGTACTACTGTCCTTTCCTTCTGGCTGCTTTTCAGGCATCAGAGCCACATGATATAGACACAACCACAAATAGCAAGTGTTTTAATTTCTTGAATTATTTTTTAACTATTCCCATAAGCACTAGGAAATGTTCACTCCTGTTTTCCGGTCAAAATTATCAGCTCATGAGAATCACAGAAAGAACACATTCCATCTAAGGATCAGAAAAAAATGTTTAATCAAAACAGCAAGTAGCAAAATTCTCATTTATAGTCAATAACAAGGCAGGGCCTTCCTAACTTCAGTTGCTCAGAGACGTGGAGAATTTCAAATCTTCATAAAGTCAACTTTTTTTCTCCATTGGAAATTAATTTTAAAATGAGAAAGTAGGACAAGGTGTAAATACTCTTGTTACTGCTCTTATAGAAACCCAGTTAATGTGAAATTTAGAAATAAGCTCCATTCCTTCCCTGCTTTTTTGGTAAAAGGGCTAATGTACCCACTAAGAAGAGAATAAGGTAAAGACCTGCTAAGTTATACCACCTCAAGAGAATCCATAAGCGTCTATGATAATTTTGAAAACTAAGAGGAGGTAAGACAATGTGAGAAGGCAGTAGGTGGTTTCAAAATGATTTGGGAAATGCTCTTCTTATTTTACAATCAAATATACCACTTGCCTCCACCTTGTAAACATTACCTGTATTTGGTTTCAGATTTTCATGAGGCAACGTTATCCATATTTATTTTTGGACTGTACACTTAAACATGTAACATTTATTTGCAATATTTCATTTATCTCAACAGATTATATATCTCATCTAGTATATAGCTCATCTAGAATGAGACCTCTTATGGGAGTAGGAGATGAAAAGGGCTTTTAAAGGCATTTTGTTGTCCAGAGAGTCTACAACAAAATTATTCCACTTGGGAATGGATATTTATGTAAGATACGTTCTGTACCATGTGTGTTTTTTTAAGTTTACATTAGGATTATTCTCAAAGCCAATTTTAAGAGTGAATGGAATTTTTCCCTCAAGTAAATCTGCCCTTAAGTATCGTGCTCAAGGGCCTACACCACAAAGTCAGCCCTACTACTTAAAGTTAAGACACCATTCACCAAGGAAAAGCTATAAAAACTGAAGAAAATGTCTACTTATTTTTTAAAACAATTAGAATTACTTTTTGCTTTTCAGTAGTGTTGGAAAATATTTTAATAACTACAATAATAAAACTTCATGTGAGGCAAATTGTACCTTAATTATTGCCTCTTGGGGTGGAAACATTAAGGAAACATTAGTAAACGTGTTAACTAGAGAAACCATTGCAGTAATTAATTTCCCTCCACGTACCTAGGTCTAAAGTCAAAATAAAATCTGTGACCTGGATATTATTTGCATGAAAGCAGACTTATAGTTTTAGCTCTAGGAATGGTAGCACTCAGGACTAAGAGGAATGGACCAGAAAAATCTCTGTGACTCATCAGTAGGTTGTGGTTAACGTACTTAAATGTTCTATAATTCGGTTTAGGAATCTGTAATTAGGGATGTTGGTATAATTCCTGGATATGTTTTAATATTTCAAACACTCTAACTTATCCCATCACCATCTTAATACTTAATGCCTGAAAAATTAATAAGTATATTGAAAATTCATTTTAAAGCACAATATCTTTTAATAAACACATTGAAATTGTGTTTCTTGCTTTTGCTTACAACTTTGGTGTGTGATTAATTACATCTTAGAGATTTCCTTCCTTTTTTTCTGTACCTCCCTCCTCCAACTCAAGACCTTTTCTCCATTTATGGCTATTTGATATATATTGTTCACTCACAGTCTTCTAGGTGACTGAACAACACAAGGGGACACTCAGGCCGATAACCATTGCTATTGAATTGTTCCAAAGTCTCATTCCCTGCCTAGGAAGAAGTTTCAATAAAATATCCCAGTGGGTCACAAGGAGTCTTTGCAATTTATAAATAATTTCATAGTCTCCATAGACTGTTCCCAGTTTTCAGTTAAATGTTATTTTTGTCATGAAAGTTTGCATTTCTATTTTTCCTATGGATTTCATACCACTGACTAAAGTTAAAGTGCATTTGAAGGTATAAAAATATGTCACTAAAATAATGAAGGTGGCGCTGACCATTGTCTTTAGTTCAGATCAGACAGCAGTGTTGAATTGGAAAAGCAAGGTTTTAGAATATCCTTCTTTATTGCATTTATTGCATCCCTCCTTTGTACCCCAGTCCTCTGACTCCCATTGTCTCTCAGCTGCGGCCTACACCCAATTATATCGAACAGTCTTCCTCCAGTTACTTATGTCGGACACCTGCCTTCTAGCTGTGCTTGGCAGGCCAGTAGGATGAGGTAATAATCAGAAGAAAATGTTCTGGTTTTTTGGCCTCATCCATGCACAACATTATTCAAAACAGTTCTCTCTGGGTAAGAACGGAGTTACTTTGAGATCCCCTGGTCTGATGTTCTATAGGAGCGTGGAAGAAAAAAACTGTAAACACTTTTGATCCCTTCTAGAATAATGGAAAGATAAATGATACCTGCCTTGACCCATCCTGTCAGTAATGTTTACAGGCAGTTAGATGTATGTGGAAATGAGAGCCTTGCATTTGTAAACATTTTGGCTTTACTCTCCCCATGTCCAGCGGTCCCCTTAAGCACGGCCTCCACGGTCATTACAGCCTGGTTTTCCTAAAAGCATATTTTGTGAACTATTTCTCCAGGATGATGGCAGCTTTTTGTAAGACACATGCCTAAAAGACATATGGTTTTCATAGATTCTCCGTCTAGACTGGCTTTATTTAGTGACTTTTGGTCTGAATTGGTCTAGTTAAAGTTTCTGTAGGAGCTTGTATAAAAGTTTTAAATGTGGGCATACCATTAAGGTGTAAAACAAAACATTTGACTTCTTATTGGCAAGAGATTAAAAGGGATTGGTTGAAAATTTCCTTCAGG